AACCAACTGTGTGATGTTTGGAGCATTGGTGAGGGTTTAGAAGGGTTTAGAAGGGTTTAGAAGGGTTTAGGGTTTAGGGTTTTGTGTGTGTGCGCAGGGGTAATCGTTTATATGCTGCTCTCCGGGACACCTCCTTTTGCAGGTAAGAAAAGGAGGGTTTAGGGTTTAGGGTTTAGGGTTTAGGGTTTGTGGTTTAGTGTTTATGGTTTTCCCTTTTTTCAATACAACTGCCCTATATGATATTTCTGGTTAAGGGTTTAGGGTTTAGGGTTTAGGGTTTAGGGTTTAGGGTTGAGGGTTCAATGACTCTATATGATATAGAGGGTTTAGGGTTTAGGGTTAAGGGTTTAGGGTTTAGGGTTTAGGGTTTAGGGTTTAGGGTTCAATGACTCTATATGATATTGAGGGTTTAGGGTTTAGGGTTAAGGGTTAAGGGTTTAGGGTTTAGGGTTTAGGGTTTAGGGTTTATGCAGGCAAGACGGACTTGGAAATAATTTTAAAAATAAAAAGATGTGAAATTTCTTTTGAGGAAAAAACATGGCGGGGGGTTTCGCCGCTAGCGAAACACTTCATTGCTAGTCTACTCAAGTGAGGGTTTAGGGTTTAGGGTTTAGGGTTTAGGGTTTAGGGTTTACGGGTTTTTAGGGGTTAAGGGGTTAAGGGGTTCGTTGGCGGTGGTTAGGGTTTAGGATATGGGGTTTAAGGTTTAGGGTTTAGGGTTTAGGGTTTAAGGGTTTAAATCCTAGGGTTTAGCGTTTAAGGGTTTAGGGTTTAGGGTTTAAGGGTTTAGGGTTTAGGGTTTATATGTGTCAAAGCATAAGAAAACCTAAAAAAAAANGGGTTTAGGGTTTAAGGGTTTAGGGTTTAGGGTTTATATGTGTCAAAGCATAAGAAAACCTAAAAAAAAAGAAAACCAAGCAAATAAATAAAAATAAACAACCAAACCCCCAAACCCCAAACCCTAAACCCTAAACCCTAAACCCTAAACCCTCGAAATGAATATATTTATATACAGGAGAAGCCCAGAGGATCGCTTAACAGCAGCAGCAGCACTAAGACATCCATGGCTATCAGCAGAAGACGAAACCCTAAAAAAACAAACCATCGATATTCAGGTTTTAAAAAGTATGGAGAGGTTTGCTGCATGTACTGCTATTCAAAGAGCTGCACTCGGTGAGGGTTTAGGGTTTAGGGTTTAGGGTTTAGGGTTTTGAGGGTTTTTAGGGTTTTGAGGGTTTTAGGGTTTTTAGGGTTTTTAGGGTTTTCAGGGTTTCTAGGGTTTAGGGTTTAGGGTTTGAGGGGGGAATAGCCGTTATTTCTCCAGCGTCAAAATGGAAAAATTAGGGTTTAGGGTTTTAGAGTTTAGGGTTTAGGGTTTAGGGTTTAGGGTTTAGGGTTTGTGTTTCAGGTTTGATCGCTTTGTCGATGCCAAGCAAAGATTTGGATGAATTAGAAAAATTATTTTGTGCTCTAGATGAAGAAAAAACAGGAAGCATAAAAGTAGGGTTTAGGGTTTAGGGTTTAGGGTTTAGGGTTTAGGGTTTAG